ATGTAGGGTTTGGTACAACCCACTGTTTCAGGCATCCACTGGGGGTCTTGGAATGTGTCCCCCGTGGATAATGGGGGACCACTCTATATTAATAAAAAATTATATCTTATAACACTTTGTTATTCTGGAGATTGAAGGACGTGATCATTAGGTATTCATGGAGAAAACTGTATCAGAAAATTAACCTGGCCAGGAAAGATTCACTGATGAGATTATGGAGACAGGGCAGAAGGACAGATTAACTGGAAACTTTATATGCCATTCAAATGATAGATTCAAGCCAACTCAGGACGGCTTCATTAAGGAAGTTTGCAATGGAATTCAGGAAGTTTGAGGGTTTAAGCCCTGGCAGGCAGGAAAGCATATGGGGTCACTCTGTGATTTTAAAAACAATCAAAGTAACTATCTATATCCTAAAGTCCATGGTAGGGATTATCTGAATCCTGGACAGTTCCTTACTTTCCGTGATAAAGGGAGGAGTTAGAGAGGCTAGTATACCAGACTCTAGAACTCTTTTGAGATTTTACTTTAAAAGGTGACTGTAGTGTTTGGAGCAGGTTGCCGATTGGCCAAAGGAGACTATACATATATACAACAAATACATACTCACGTACATAAACACGCATTTTTAAGGCTACATTAAATTTCCAATATAATTAAAGATTTCAAATGTTATTAGAAGTGAAGTGACAAGCATGGATGTTCATTCTACCAATTTTATCCATAAGAGACTGAATTGTCCCAGAAATAAGACCAGTGTGCTGGTCCTCAGCATGTTTGCCCGCAGATGCATTCCTTGCATTTCCCCTCTTCTGCTCTGCTCTGTATGCAGAGGGGCTGACCCACAGACTGTTTTTCCCAGACTCTTTTGTCAACTGCTGTTCTGCTGGATGTTGTCAGTGAGAAGCCCAATGAAAAGTGCTGATCGGAGAAGCAGAAGGAAGAGAAAAGGGAGGGTATTTCTCCTCTCTGCCTTGGGGATCATCTCTGGCAGCAGCTATATCCCTTCCTTAACTCCAGCTACCACTGAAAAAGCCCATCTGGTTCTGGCTTCCTTCAGGTAACCCAGGCCACTGGGCCCTGATAACATCACCTCCTCCACCCCTACCCCCTCAATCCCTCCAGCAGTTGCTAATCTCACGGATGACGATTTCTGTTTTCCTGATTGGACTCTGACTGATTAAATCATGGCAGAAATTTTTTTGAGTTGATCTACAGTTCCTGGGGCAAGAAATGCTTCATATTTGGCCTGTGATTCTTTTGAGTAATCAACTTTAGTGATTGCCTTTTTTTTTTTTTTTTAAGTTTATTAACCTTTCCTAGGAAGAGAATGTGTTTGCTGGTCAAGGAGTTCATTTGAGATGTGAAAGGGACTTTGGGGGGAGATAATAAAAGTAAGTGCTAAATCAGGAGATAAAAGCCAGCCATACACCACCGTTTAGGACAGTGTCCCTCAACCTGGGTCTCCATCAGAATAATCTGGGGTGTCTTAAAAATCACCCCCACCAAGGAGACTCTGCTTTAAATAGTCTATAATGAATATTTTTTAGAGCAGTGGTCCCCAGACCAGAAGCATCAGTATCACCTGAGAACTAGTTAGAAATGCAAATTTGGGGGCCCCACCCTTGAATTACTGGATCAGAAACTTGGGGTTGGCACAAGAAATCCTGTTTTAACAGCCTACCAGGTGATTTGATGTATGCTGAATTTTAAGAACCACTATTTTAAAACTACCCAGGTGATTCTAATGTGCAGCCAAGTTTGAGAACTGCAGGTTTAGGAATAGACTTTCAATAAAATCATAACTTTGATTAAACATATATATGTATTAAAAAGCTACTATGTTTTAGAATCTTCTGTGGCCCAACAAAAGACAACAATTGAGATTATTTATAAAATTTGCAACTACGCAGAAAGATGATGCATTAAAATAAAAAGTTGTAAAAGCCACAAATATTCAACCATACAGAATAAAAAAAGAAAAATGAATCAAGAAAGTTCCTCTTTCTGAATTAAAAATAGCTAATTAGATAGTAAATGTGCTTCAACAATAAGGTAGGACCCATTGCAAAATGCATGTCCAATCGTCTAACGTGCATTTCTCCCACTTGTCTTCAATTACACCCCCTATTACTAGTAATGGCACAAAATCTTTATTGTTAGAGATGATCTTAGATATCAGGTAATCCAGCATTTTGCAACCAGCAATTCATAGACCCTGGGGCTCACCAAGGCTTTCTGGCAGTGTAGCAGTTAAGATCGTTCCAGATGCAAATAACAGTACTCCAATTCAAACTAGGATTAATAACCAGATATACTTGGGGCATTTTTAGAGTCCACAAGTAGTGACAGCTTCAGGTGCAGTTGGATCCTGGGGCCCCAGCTCCATTTATCTCCAATTCTCTTGGATTTACTCTCCTCCTTATGTCAACTTTGACTTTAGACTTGATATTTCTCATTGTAGAAAATGGCTGCAGCAGTATCAGGACTCACATCTGCATCCTATACCATCCAGAGAAAGAGGGAATGTCTCTCCAGATAAATTCTGAGGAAAATAAAGGATTCTTCTCTTCCGTAAGTCCCCAAAAAATATATCCTGGTTTTTCTTTAGTCCAGGTTGTTTCATGGGGCCTAATCTTTGTGGTTAGGAGAATGAACTGTACTTCAGCCAATCAGGGCCCATCCCTGGAGCTAAGGACGACATTGTTTTCTCCTGAGACAAATGGAAAACTAGAATACTGTTGCCATGGGAAAGCACAGTGAATGCCAAGAAACCTAAATGGCAAAAGTCTACTACATGTGGGGAGGGGGCAGTGTTTTTAAATTAATAAGTAAAATAATTGTTCAGATAGTTTCTTTTAACCTTGAAGCATCTTAGAGCCTCCAAGAGTTTATCAAAAGGACATTCATGGCAGCCAATGGAGATCAAATGGATAGTCTCCTGACTCAGTCATTCAGTTTACTATCCAGGTATACTACTAGTTGAATGTTTTACTCGTTGTTCAGCTTTAAATAACTTTTACTCTTAGTCACATATTGTATAATTTAACACCTATAATAGACCACTGATTGGAAACAGAGACACATGTGTTACAAATGTGCTGTTCATGTTCACCCAACACCTTCTGATGATGGCACCAGAACTGTATTATGGGGGAGCATTATTATCTTTACCCTAGTGTGCACGATATAGGTGGGACTGTCAATCAAGATGCCCCTCTCTCCCATAGCCAAGCAGTGAGCATGTGACCCAAAATAAGCCAGACCAGTTCCTTTTCCTGGGACTTTGAATCTTATCTGAATGCTCAAAGACAGGAAGAATGGCAGAAGCTGATTCCTCTCTGTGATGACACTTTGATAGGACCATTAAATTCACTACTGCTCCCAAAATCCTTAGAGCTTTCCAGGTTCTCGCTCTTTCTCAAAGCTGGTGCTTGAGCTTCTTTTGATGTTGAGGTGCCCTATAGCCTTCCAGTCAATTCTCTTTTTGCTTGAGTTTTCAAGAATAGATTTCTATTGTTTACAACATATAATCCTGAAAAGAAGCATAAAATGATCATTCTGAACATTTTCTTCAAGAGGATCAACACTGAATTCGTAAATTGCATGTTTGATCAAAATTTTTAGATGATGCATCAATTTACCTCTAGTATTTTAAAAACCATTGTTGACAGGGAAAATATAGGAACATTTTATCCAATTTGACTTATAATTGGTTAGGAATAAAGACCTTCTAAACTCTCAATGTGTTTTTTGTGGGTAAGTGCTTAGAAATTGCAGCCTGAAGCCTTTTCCTTTATCCTGCCACTTAGAAACAAAAGACAAAAATTACAAAAATAGGCTAGGTCTTTTATAAAGCAAAGTGTAAGAATTCTAAGTATAGGTACAAAGGCAGTTTTTGTCAAGGTTTGATGCATAATAGGCAGTTAAATTTTAGTATATTTTTTAATATCTATTCAGTCCAAAATGAAGCAGGATATATTATTTTTAATTGATTTATCAACAAATTATGCTTTTCCTCATGCACTAAAGTTCAGGAAAATCAAAGAAAATTAAGCATTTTCTAGATCCAGAAGATATATGTAAAAATATAGTGACTAATGCACAATGTATATTAAAAAGAATAAGAAAAGGAACCGAAATGTATACAGTAATCTTTAGAGACATACTGACCTGAAAATTTTGATTGCCTTTAAAATTACGTACCATCTATCACATATATATTAATAATTTTTTTAATTTTTAAGGGACTTTGATAGATTATATATTTCATTGAAAGGTGTTTGAGTCCAAAAAAAAGCTGGAAAACACTGATCCACTTCCTTACTTGACAGGAACCAGAGAGGTCCCCCAGGTAACGTTGAAAGGTGAGATACAAGCAGAGTTCTTTAGACTTGGAACATCCATCAGACATTCTCGCTTCCTGCCGCCACAAACGCACTGCAGTGCTCATAGAAAAGTGAATTCTCATCAGTTTCTAGGCAAGGTCAGTTATTATATCAACCCCAAAAGCACACCTTTCTATGTAATTACATACATTATTGTTTATGTGCCTCCAGAAGTGTCTTGAATCAGACCTATACATTTTGAGGCTAAAATTCAGAGCAGTTGCCTGGGGCCCACTGCCCATAGATTGATTTTGGACATTCTCAATCTTGAATGATACTGTTAAACGTAGATCTAAGTTCATAGAGATTGAATTTCTTATTTTTTTTTCTTTTTTGCCAGGAAAGATTCATCCTGAGCTAACATCTACTGGCAATCTTCAATCTTCCTCTCTCTTCCTCTTTTTTTTTTTTTCCCTCTCTAAAGCCCCAGTACATAGTTGTATATTCTAGTTATAAGTCCTTCTAGTTCTTCTATGTGAGCTGCTGCCACAGCATGGCTACTGACAGACAAGTGGTATGGTTCCACACCTGGGAACTGAACCCAGGCCACCAAAGTGGACCACACTGAACTTTAACCACGAGGCTATCAGGGCTGGCTCAGAGGTTGAATTTCCAATATTCAAAACAAGCAGAGAATTGACTGCCCTCCTCCAACTCTCTGCTAGGAATTTGCTATCACATCAAGGTAGAGAGCTAAGAATGGCCAGATAGGGACTTCCCCGTGTTCCTTTGTTGTTTCTGTTGCCCCATCCAGTCATTTCTGAACATGTCCACTAGCTCCCATTGTCTCTGATGAAACTGATACATAAACTTCTGATAACTCAGGGTCTCATGATATTGAAAGTCTGTAAATAACAAAGAAAAATTCAAAGTCACTGGGTAAGATTTTTCCCTTTGTTAAATGGGCTGCCCTAATAACCACAGGAGGGATGAAATCAGAAGGTTGGAGAAGGCTATAACACTAGACCTTTAAAATACTTTGTAAAAGTTTTATGTTAGCTTGAACTAGGGCTTTAATCTGACTCCCAAGAGATGATGAATATCATGTGGTTAAGAAAATCTCATTCTAGACAAAGAGTTCTCATGTTCTTTTGAGTAATCCAAGAATCCTGAAATCCACAGGTACAAACATTAAGTAAACAAACAAGCAAATAAATGAGGGAAGAGTGTTGATCATCATAACATCTGCCAATGTGCCCCACCCAATTGATTGGAATTCCTGATGTGTGATACTATGGCCAAAAGACATACTTTTCTTGGACCCTCTGCAGCTGGGCCCAAAATCCAAGTGAGTGTCCCCAGCACATGTCCTGTCCTGGAACTAAGGATTCAGGCCTAATGTTCATCTCTACCTCCTCCCCCTCTGATCAATACTGTCTTTCGTTAAATTCCAGAGCACTACTATGATAATTTTGCACCCCCTCAACATTTCAGTCTTTGTGCTTCCATCAGAATACAGTCCATGAGAAACTGTCAACATCCCCCTTTTGTGATTCATCAATGTTTTCCCTGACAGGGAGATCCTTGCAGCATCCCACAAAAATCTACTTAACGCTAATATCCCTGAACTGTGGCATTAATACTATCATGTCTCTCCATGAAGAATTCTTGTTGCAAGTACCAATCACACATCTTTCTTTTGCTACAGTGGAAGCATAAATTCAAAATGTTTATGAAAATTTGCCTTAGGATCAGCCTTAAACTAGGTTGGTGTCTCACTCTACTGTATAGTACACAGTATGTGATAAGTAAAATCTCCTAAGATTTTTCCTCCAAAATAATCTCTGTTTCTCTTACGTTTCCTAAGAATACCAAAGGACCACGACCACTAAAAAGAAGAGGGGATGGATATGGTCGCCATAATATTCGCCATCCTTAGGGTATTCCTTCTCCAGTATTCATATCTTGGTTACTTGGGCATGAAAGTTATGCATTAATTGGACCCACCTTAATCAGGGGATGCCTAGCTTACTTTTTCAACTCTAAAACTCAGTTCTCTAATCTTTGAAGTAAGAGTTTTTGTCAGAAAAAGCAATAGGACTGACTAAGACTATTCATAAATATTGTGGAATGTCTGGTAGGCTGAGTGGAGCCCAGGGAACACAAATGCCACACCAGATATGAAACCACGTTCATGGAAAAGAAAGGGGAGCTCTTAGGGAGCAAAAAGTCACCAGAATGCAGAAACTGCAGAAAGCAGAGTTAGAATGTGCTTCAGATGTCTATGGATAACAAAGTTAATGTCTGCATATTACGGACACATAAAATTACAGAATAAATACTTGACAAAACCCTTGATTTCAGACTTCTACTATTTGTCCAATTTTTCTTTCTTTCTTTTTCTTCTTTTCTATGATATAGGATTAGACAACATTTTCTTGACTTTAATCATTTCATATCTGTTCATATTTGCCTTTCTTTGACCAAAAGTGGGTTGCCTTTCTGATCACTAAATGAAAACTTTCTTTTATAACACAGAAACCTAGACCACATGGTATTGCGTATATATATACTTGTTCACAGTCTTTCAGGGCGTCCAAAGTAAATAAGTTGTTTTATTCATCTAAGACAATTAAAATAATAATCCCACTGAAAATCCAAAGAAAGATATTTTAAAATTATAATAGCCTCTGCACAATATGAAATGTAGATTTTTATCCAAACTTTTCAGGACAATTATTTTATGAATTTGCTATATTGCATACTCTTTAATCAACATAGTTACCAAATAAATGAAATTATTTAGCTAGTCATTTAGATTTACCAAGAGAAAAACAATATACATCTTGGATACAGTTACTAGGACATTGCTCTGGATCCTCGGTGTGCTCAGTCTGCTTTAGCTGACCGGCTGGCTGGTTGGCTGGTTGAAGATCTATCTTTCTCAGACAGCCCGTGTGGCACCATGGAAAGGCAGCGGACCAGGAACCAGTAGATTGGATATCTGCTCTGCAGTGTTCCTGGGAAAATCTCTCAGCCTTTATAACTCTCGATTTTTTCATCTGTAAAATAGGATAAAAATATTTCTGGCCTTCTCAGCTGGATTATTAGGAAAATCAGAGAAGACAATGCACGTGAAAGCATTTTGTACATGCAAGATAATAGTAATATAATTTTACTTAACTAGTAATTGATATTCTTCTGCTGTAAAGTCACATTTTCAGAAACTAAGGGAATTAGTTATGGCAGTTCACATATATCCTAAAGCTAAATTTGACATAAAAACATCAGGTTCAAAGGCCTAAACCATGTGTCCTGTCCTCAGGCCTGAAAATTATTCAATATTTTCTAAAGCTGGGGTCAGCCAGTTGGAGCCTCAGGACGGTATCAGCAGCATGCCATGATACTCGGCTTTCGCCGGGGACCAGTTTTTCTGACCTCAATATTAACACTGTTTCAGCCGTCACGTGTTAAAAGCCTGCAGGCTGGTGGATAAGAAAAATGAGGCAGCGTGCAAACACCTGGGGCTCAGCCCCGTTAGTCGGGTTAAGTCGCTGTTAGGAGTCGAGAGGCGTTTTCAGCCACAGTTCTCATGTTTATTTAAATCGACTTTGGCCTTAAAGTAAAACTATTAACCTACTTTAAGGCTGTAAAAGTAGAGTAGCAAAGTAGTTTCTCCATTCAGTTATCCAAAGGGTCCACTGTGTACCTGGTCCATAAACGAACGCATTTGTCACTGAGGTCTTCAATCTGAGCAGAAGCTATTTTCCAGAAGGTCATAGCATCATCTTCTGTTTGTCCTATCTTTGGCGACAAATGGGGCACAGTTCTTTGAGAACATGACTGATAGAAAGGAACCTGCTTGAACATTAGCATCATGACAGCGTTCTCACTGCCAGTGGTTAAAATTTCAGCTTTTGGTTTTCAGATACCAAAACAGAAAGAAAGACTTCTATAAATGAACGGATACTTTTCCCTGCCCCTGCTGCTTCACAGCCACATTATATCTGGAGGCTAGATCCGGGCACAGGACTTTCAGTGTTTCCACTAGCAGGTTGGCTTACACTGCTAGATAGAGATGTCTGGGGGAGTCCAAATCTCCTTTACCACGAGGCTCCTTTTTATTTTTCCGCTTGCCTTCTATATTGTATGACACAACCAAGTTAAATAGCATAGATTCTCAGATCGAGGGCTAGCAATAAACCAGACCAAGTCTACAAAAGTCAAGCAATGGAGAAGCAGCAATTTTAATAAAACCCAGGAAGCAGGAGTAGGAAATGCTGTGTTTTAATCAGTTCTACCTCTTCCGGGCTCCTGATATTTCTACAATTATCCTCTATTTTATTACCGTGAACTTGTTCAAGTAAAACAACAATTAATAAAAGATTAGACTGCCCCTCCCAACAATTTAAAAAATATATCTGCAAGCAGAATGATTACACCATTTTATCACAGCCATTTTTTTAAAAAAATAGGATAATATGATTAGCAAATTGAGTCTGGTGAAATTGTGGCTTGTCCAAGCACTGTCCTAGTCTCTAAATCAGAGTTGAATGAGTCATTTCTAGAGTCCCTCCAAGCGCTAACATCCTACGCTACTACTTCAAATGACAGAAGGATGCAGACAGCTCTTGACTTAACTGGGATGAAATGAGTATACCTAATATAATGTAACTGATAATGCTAAAACCTCATTTTATGAATTTGTTTAGAGCTCTTCTTCTATTAAATGTTTTCTCTTATTCCTACTTATTTTTTGATAACTGCACAAATAGAAAAAGAAAGGTCAAGTAGATGGCATGGACAAAAGCGATGTAGGCCAAAGGGTACAAATTTTCAGCTGTAAGAATACGTTTTGAGGGTCTAATGTACGGCATGGTGACTACAGTGAGTGATGCGGCATTGAATACTTGAAGCTGCTGAGAGTAAATCTTAACCATTCTCACACACACAAAAGAAAGTTGACCATGTGGAGTGAGGATATGTTAATTATCTTGATGCTGGTAATCATTCCACAATGTGCATCAAATTATCACATTTATACTTTATTTATTTGTGGGTTTTTTTTGAGGAGGATTAGCCCTAAGCTAACATCTGCCACCAATCCTCCTCTTTTTGCTGAGGAAGATTGGCCCTGAGCTAACATCCATGCCCATCTTCCTCTACTTTATAGGTGGGATGCCTGCCACAGCATGGCTTGCTAAGTGGTGCATAGGTCTGCATCTGGGATCTGAACCAGTGAACCCTGGGCTGCTGAAGCAGAACGTGAGAACTTAACAACTGAACCAACAGGCCGGCCCCCACATTGTATGCTTTAAATGTATATAATTATATTTGTCAATTATTCTTCAATAAAATTGCAGGGGGGAACAATACAGCTAATCTCTCAGTATTGATGCACTGGCTATAATCAGCATTCCACACAATTGCTTATGAAATCTATTGAAAATTCCCCCTGTATCTCTTTACTATAAGCGGATTGGGCCTTAAAACATTTCAAGTGAGATCTTAGATGTTTTTTGCCTTCTAACTAATAAAATTTACCCTACATCTCTGATTCATTTTGATGGTCCGTCCAGTTCACAGAATAGGAGAAACACGGCAGTGACAATTCTGCTCCAGTCCCTTGTGCTACTAGTTGGCCTCAATCCTGACCTAGAAGGAACATCTTCAAAGCTGAAAATTAATTTAGAGTCTATTCCAGGTCAGTCCTGTGCATCTTTGCTGAGAAGACCTATTAATGCCAACCTTAACAGAAATAAACACAAGCCCGTTAGGAACTGGACTAAGACCATCGGTCATTTAGCATAAGACAAATAGCAAAGCCTATCAAATCACGAACCTGCCAACTTAAAACTGAGTACAAATAGCAACTCCAAAATGTCATAGTCGGTAGTATCCCATTAAAGGTACAGTGTTTACACATTACCAACAAACAAATTAATATACTATTAAAAGAACATACTAGAAAACTCTAAATGTAATGATCTCATGAAGCAATCTGAACCAAAAATGCTTCAAAGAAACATTGTAATTTAGAACATTTCACTACAAATTAGCCTTCATACCTGGCGCAATTTAAGATACAAAGATACATCTCTGGGTTATGGTGAAAATTTAATTATCCTCAAAACAATAAGCTGAAAATATTAAAACATGACTAGTAATCTACTGACTCAATTTTTAAAACACTTTCAAATATCTCCATAGAGGGAGAGATTTATAGGGTTATCAAGTAGGTACAGGATTTTCTTGACAGTAGATCCTAGCAGAATGAAGCTCATTTATATTCATTTTTCAATATCTAAAACACCTACAAATTTAAATTAGCAAACTATATTATACAATCATATTGAAAAGCATGTCCTTAGTGATTTATATATAAATATCTTAGACACATCTTTGCATCCTAGGAGAACTGGATCAGAAGATTACTTTTCTAGGGTCTGTCCTATCATCATAAGGAGTGGGTCCAGACTAAAAGTCTGTCTCATGTAGCTTACAGACAAGGAAACTCGTGTTTTCTCTTGGGCAAGTGTTGCTTCTGCTACAAGGCATGCTAATACTTCAACAGCATCGGTAAGTAATGACGGGAATAAGGCCAGGCCTGGGCAGGGACAAAGCTGGGAGAAACTGACCCAGCTAGAGGACGGATGCCCAAGGAGTTAATCTACAGTCAAATGACCAGTCCAAAAAAGCACAGTGATCCTCGAGGTTGGGTGCAGCAATCTTCAGCATCTGAGATCCACTGAGCACGTAAAGTCTGGCAAAATGAGGTTTAAGGCACCAAGTGATCTGCCAAGACAGATGGGCTGTCACCATAGCACCTGTATCAGTCACGGTCCTAAAAAGAAGCATCAATCACACTCAGGTTAGGATAATTCAAGGAGGCTCAATTAAGAGATTATTCCTAAAGGTATAGAGCTAAATCACAAGAGAAAATGCTATACCCCAATACCCAGCTAGGCTGTAACCATCCCTAGGCCAGAAGGGGTGTGGAGCGGTTCCAGGAATCTGGAAGCAGAGGACCACCTGGAGCAGAGCTCTGACCTTCAGTGAAAGAAGGTGGGCAGCTTGCGGTAACCCCAGGGGGAAGAAGCTGGTGTTATAAATACCCCTATCTCACTTAATCACTCTCTGGGTTGTCCTCCCCGGAACTCCCCCATTGGCCAAACCCAGCTAGAGCTGGAAGGCAAGGGTTGGTAGGTCCATATAGGTCAGTAGAAGAGGAAGGGGGAAACAAGTTGGGAAAGGGTGGAGAGGGGTCTGTCAGGGCAAGTAAAAGAATGATGGCACAAACAGGATCCAAAAAATACGTGAGAGTCTGGGGATGAGGGCCCAGCATGCTAGAGAAAGGGGCCAGCAGAGTGAAGCAGGTTAACAGAGCCCTAGTCAAATAAAGAAATTGAATCAGAGGAGGACTCCACCACCGCAGGAAGTCAGAGGCTAAGCAGAAAACCAAGGCGGAAGTCTGCTGGCACAAGTTATGCCAGAGATGTGGGCGTAGGGAGAGTCCCCAGGCACGCCGGAGGATTGGCTGCAGAGCAGAAAAGCTCACCGTTGATCCAATTCACAGATGCCTTTGGCATCAAATGTACTTTCTGCTGGGTCTGGATTGACATAAGAACAAGTCAGGATTGAGACTATGGAAGACCAGCAGGATCTGCAACTGAGAATGGAAAAGAAAGAAGGTAATAATGCAGCAGGAGACTGTATCGTAAGGGTTCTTGACATGTTCCAATTGGAAAAGGTAAGAAGAGTTTGCAAAGATGGGGGAAGAATGTAGGAAATGTAGGGAAACTGCAAGGAATGTGTGCTTCACCCCTGGGCCTGAGACAACAAGGAGGAGGGGCAGTTACAAAACCCAGAGTTGCATCCTGAGAGATGCCCTGACCTTCAGTTGCAGAACATTGCCTATCCTGGGGGAGAAAACCAAGAGGATATCCCCAGCCCTCCTCTCCACCCTCTTCAGGTCTCCTGCAGGACTCCCTGTTGACCAAACCCAACCAGAAACCAGAGGACCAGGTCAACACAGTCCACACAGCTCAGTCTTGTAGGCCAC